TTATTTTATTTTATTATTTTATTTTATTTTATTATTTTATTTTATTTTATTTTATTTTATTTTATTTTATTTATTTTATTTTATTTTATTTTATTTTATTTTATTATTTTATTTTATTCATTTCATTTTATTATTTAGCCCATCCTGCTGAAAGTGACTCTGGCTGGTATAGAACAAAGCTAAAACGGTAGATAAATAGTCCTGTGATGTTTATTTGCTGCATCAAACTACTTAATTTGGAGTCACTTCAGAAGGGAAAATATTAAAAGTTTTTTCTTCTCCTCATTACTGTCTCCCTGTAGTTTCTACTCCCTAATGAGTTCTCCACCATTCTCCTCCAGGCTGTCTGACTGGGAATTAAACTTCACAGAGTAAATTTGCATGTGTGTGTGTGTAGAGTCCCACATTCCACCTTCTTGCATGCTTTTTCTCATTCATTCATGCCAGCTCCAGAAAAACAAGTTTAGGAACTCACAGTAACATGTAGTTACACCCTAATAATTGAGCACCCTGAGATGGACAAACCTCTAACTATGATACCTGTACTAGTCACCATTACTCACAGGCATATAATATAGGCCAGCAAATTTCACGCAGGGATAGACTGTACTAAATGCAAGATTAATAATCAGCTTCTTCAACCCATAACATGCAATATTGGTATGGTCCCATTGTCTCTAATGAGGATATCAGTCCGCCCTCCCCATTTCACCCAAAATGAATGAAATTTGTATTCCATTCTTACAGGATAAAGACTACCAAACTGCTTGCAAAGAAATTTAGGGTTTGGATGGGGAGGAACAGACTCAGACTCAGGCTCAACCCCTCCAAGACCGAGTGGCTGTGGCTGCCGGCGCCTCGGCATAGTCAGCTGACCCCATCGCTGACTATAGGGGGCGAAATCTTGGCCCCCTCAGAGAGGGCCCGCAACTTGGGAGTCCTCCTGGATCCACGGCTGACATTGGAAGACCATTTGTCGGCCGTGACCAGGGGGGCGTTTTATCAG